TTCAGACAGTTTCATTTCGCTCCCATCGAGTTGAAAACGCAAATAAATCACAGCCATTTGCACTCTCCATCGATATATGAAGGCGCTGTTGCACCTCTGATAACTTGTAAGGATTATTTTGCGGTGTTTATATAGGCCTTTTGACGGATTGTGTCAAGGAGCTGTAAACACGGTTACACTCACTAAGTGAATTAATCGAGTTTGTGCCGAACTCTTATTACAAAGCAAAAACAAACACTCTCCTTTGATCCGTGAACGTTTCTCTCAGTTAATGTGCCGATGTCTTCTCACAGACTGAAAGCGTTTGTCATAGCAAATCAACACATGCTGTTGTGAATAATTAAGCGAAACGTCTTCTCATAGGATAAGAACACGCAGTCTCATGAATAATTTAATAGACACCGACGCGTCATCGATGTACTATAAGGCTTGTTTGAGATGCGCCTCGCCTCGCCTGAAATGTAGGCGGCTGCAGTGAGGTATATCGCGTTATTCTCACTCGTGTGCTGTGCTGCTGATTACCGTGATATGATTTCAGTTCTGTTGCCTTTATATAAAAATAAATATGATGAACAAGACACTCAAAGTGCTTGCTATTTAATTCCATACGGAAGGCGTATTTATCATTCATTTTTACTTTAAAACAAACATGTATTTTAGATTTTTATAGAAATATGACAACAATCACATATCTCACACAGAGATCGCACTTGTCATAGTGTTTGGGAATATTCATGCATAATTTAAATACTTAAATCACATGAAACCAGATAAAGAAATAAAATATATTAGAAGAGAACGCAGCATCAGGTTGTCTGAACCAATGAGCATTAAGCTGCGTCGTCAGTCAGTCGTTTCCCATCATGCTTTTGATCAGCACAGTCAGTGGAGAACAACTGCGCTCGACTGCACAATCCGACACAGCCGTCGGACGTAACTCGGACATATTTCTAACCGACATGCATCTCGCGGTGATCACCGGTGATCGGTTCTGCGCAGATTTTGCTCATCTCAAACAAGCCTATAGTCCTTTGCCACGTCACAAACTGTGACGTCAACACGATGTAGATTTTAAACCCGGAAGATGAAAACAGCGCAAAAAAGCTTCAAATTAACCAGTTGTCTTCTATGATGTGCAACACAAACACCTCTGCTAAAATCTCAGACAAAGTAATTTGGGGTTTCATGACCCTTTAAATCAGCAGGGGTCGAAGGTCAAAGTTCAAACTGTTAAAAAGCAAACTGAATTCATAAAGCAGTTACTTGAGTCAGACGGGAGCAGGCAGACAGTATGTTGAAGCAATCATGGATGAGAGTCAGGAGAGCTTTCATGAATAAGCTGTTTCATCTCCAGCTCCATGATGGATTTTCGCCGCCATGCAAGGTTAAACTAATACACCTGATTCAATTAATCCAGCGGCGGCTGATTATTGTTGAATCAGATGTGTTAGTTCAAGGCTGGAACAAATTATGTTGTTGTGGGGTCCCAGAGGACAAGAGTTGAAAACCACTGGAACAGACACAAGGCGTCTGATCTTCTATAGGACTCCGATGTACAGTAAAACACAGAGGTTTTCTCTAAGGGTTTATGTGTTTGATCTTCCTAATGTTGAAAATAAACACAAACCTATTTAGATTCATTGCATTCATATTAGAAAAAAGCCTGTGAGTTTGACCTCTGCATGTTTGTCAGTGTTGTCCAGACTCCCTGCTAGTGCTTGAAGCATTCTGGTTTGTGTCCAAGTGTTGATCTTGTTCATTCACCGTGTAGAAGTATGCGAGTTTAGGCCAATGCTCACAGGAGAGATTTCTTACCAGATGAACTGACAGAGGTGGTCTGAGAAAGATAGAGAGAAAGAGAGAGTGCATACTATAGTAGTAAGTATTTTGTATATAAGACATTATGTAAGTAAGTGCAGGTACTAGTGCCAGTGGCCTCAAAGGTGGAGACCGCCAAGGAAAACTGAATAGCAGGGCTCTTGGTGCATGTACTGCAAGCTGTCCACTAGGACTTTTATTTTTGTTGTGTACTTTTCTAAAAAAACACCTATTTCCTAATTTCTCAAGCTAAATTGCTTTTGCTGCTAAATGTAGAATGAAGGGGCCCTGACATGTTTCTTAGGGATTAAAGTTCCATCGCTACGACAGATTTCCGTCAGTTCATAAAGACACATTCCTGAATGATTCAGTCGTTCTAACAAATTCATTGAATGAATGATTCCGTGATAAAATCACTGACTTGCCGCCACCTGCTGGCGGATTTAGTTTCATTTTTAGCGTATAATTTCAGTTATTTGAATCGTATTTCTGTATTCAAAATTTTATATTTAAAACATTAATCTCCACATGAATTTATTAATTTAATTGCACTCATGCCACCTCTGATAATCATGATAATCGGCTCAGTGGTAGCATGAGTGCAATTAAATTCATAAATATGATTCAAATAACTGAAATTATACGCTAAAAATTAAACTAAATCCACCAGCAGGTGGCGGCAAGTCACTGATTTTATCACTGAATCATTCATTAAATTGATTCGTTCGAACGGCTGAATCATTCAGGAATGAAGCAAGTGACTGTCTTTATGGACTGACGGAAATCCGTCGTAGCGATGGAACTTTAATCCCTGTGTTTCTACACTGCAAAATTACAGTGTAAAAATTATAAAAATGCATTATATATAGGTTTTCTGCAGGTCTTAAAAAGTCTTAATTTGCCCTTCCACAAATCAAGGCTTTAAAAATTCTTAAATCTGAGCCTAAAGTCTTAAATAAAGTCATTTCATTAAATGTTGCGTACACTGCAAAAAATGAAAATCTTCCTCAATATTTTTCTTGCTTTCCAGTTAAAATATCTAAACATCCTTAAATTAGTGTACTCAACATTTTTTTATTTTATCTTTTCTTGTAGCACTTTGGTTGGCCTGCGGCCATTTTTAAATGTGCTCAATAAATAAACTGAACTTGAACTTCTTGGTCTTAAAAAAGGTCTTAAAAAGTCTTAAATTAATATTCATAAACCTTGTATAAATACATTATAAAAAAACAAGTTTTAAAATATTTTGAGTTGCTTCTTTTAATTCGTGTCATTTTAAGAATTTTTAATTATTTTATCGGAGAAAAACAAAGACTCATTAAAAACGATGTTTTTTCAGTGTATGTTTTGTTTGATTTTAGCTGTTTATTTATATATTTCCATTGATTTGACAAATCATTTTTAATTTGAATGGAATCAGACAATCTTTAAGTTACTGGTCCATTTAATTTTTAAACCATTTCTTTCACTTAAATCATACAACCAAAATATCAAATACATGTTTTTAAATAACCTTGTTCATTTAGCAAGAAACAAACCCAATATTTTGTCCAAAAAAAAAAAAAAATGTAAAAAATTAATTTCCACAACAAGCGCCACTATTTCTTTCCTTTGCTGCCCTCTACTGTCCACAACGTCAATGTTCATGAATGTTCTATTTTGGAATTCAAAACATTGAAACATTCTGTCCAATCAGAGTTTGATGAGAAGCCCACTGTGAATGATCAGCCATTAAGATCCTTTCATCTGTGATAAAGGGAACAAATCGGTAAACTGATTCCTCATTACCATGGTTGCATGGCGGCATCAAACTCTCTGTGTGATCCAATGGACATGTTGACGCTGCATTTGAGTTCAAATGAGCCAATGGGAAAGTGCTCTTGTCTCTGCGATGGGCCAGTGGAAAAGCGGATTGTGAGTGATGAGCCATGTAACCGTCCAATGAGCTGCCAGATGTTGCTGACAACGAAATCAAAGCATTCCTGCTTCCCAGAAACCCCGGCCTAGTTACACCTGAGAAAGAGACACCATTTATAATGCAGACTATGTAATTCTACAATTAAAACAAGACATCAGCACATACCCAGTGATCCACAGTCACTTTGTTCTTCATTTTGTTCCCTCCTCATCCTCGCTCTGCGATTGGAGAACCAAACCTTCAGATGGAAGATCAAGATCAGGTCAAACATCTAACTCAAGCCCCTTTAAATATATGTATGCCAACTCTGGAAGCCTCTTTTTCATATGATATATTATTACTTTTAAGGAACAAAAGCATTTGTTAGCTTAAATTTTAAAGGTGAATTGCCTTTATAGTGTTCTGTGGAAGGTTTGTCTCCTCAGACAGCTTTTCTCTGGTCAGCAGGTCTGGATAAAGCCCACGGATGAACTCTGAATAGCCAGAAATCAGAATGGGAGACGTTATAAAGTAGCTCAGTATAACAGCACACGGATGACTGTGAACAGATAGTGAGAGATTAAAGTGATCACCTTTCTCTAACCTCTCGCACTGATCTGTGGTGAAAGCTGTTCTGCTGCGATGACAGGTGCTTCGCAGGTTCGTGTTCAATTGTTGCTGATTTGTCTGAGCAGTTGTGTGTAACCTCCTCTGCTCATCCACTTGTTCCTCTAGGGTGACAGGAAGTGAAAGAGGGAAGGTTAGTATACATATTTGATTCAAGACCTTTAAGTAGGATGAACACAGGTAGGACATTTACACTTAATCATCTTTTTCATTATTCTTCTAAACATAAGCAACTTTATGCTAGACTTGTATAAATAAAACAGTAAAGCCTTCTTTTTGTATTTATCATAAAAGTATCATCTAGAATTTAATTTAATACGCTATTATTCAACTGTTTTAGGTCAGTAGGATCTTTTTAAGAAATGTATACTTTTATTCAGAAAGGATGCTTTAAATTAATCAAAAGTGACAGTAAAGGCATTTATAATGTTACAAAATATTTCTACTTCAAATAAATGCTGTTCTTTTGAACGTTCTATTCATCAAAGAATCTTGAAAAAAAAATGTATCACAGTTTCTTCAAAACAATTATGCAGCACAACATTCTTAAGCACTAACTCAGCAAATTAGAATGATATCTGAAGGATCCTGTGACACTAAAGACTGGCGTAATGATGCTGAAAATTCAGTTTTATTTATTAGGAATCAATTATATTTAAAAATATATTAAAATAGAAAACTGTTATTTCAAATTGTAATATTATTTCATAATATTTTTACTGTATTTTTTTTATTTTGATCAAATAGGCCTAAATGCAGCCCTGGTGAGCATATGATATCTCTTTTAAAACAATATTAAAACATCTTAATGACCACAAACTTTTGAATGGTATATTAGGCCCACACACTGGCCCCGTAACACAGAAACCATTTACAGTGATTAATGATCAGAACATGCCACACTTCACCTGTATTCACCCTATAGCATTTGAATTTCGAATGAAACAGATTACCTGTGTAACTGAGTTTTACATTTGGATATGAACTGCCCACCATGTCCACATCTAGATGAATCTTCTTAAGAATCCGGTTTATGGAAGACACCTGATGACATCATTTATTCATGCATCATACAAACATTTTTTCCAGATCAATAAGAGCAAAAATGTCCACTACTTTTTTATAGGCTAGACTTGTGCATTTAAAGGAATAGTTTACCCAAAAATGAAAATTTGCTTAAAATGTTTTTATTTCTTCGTCATCAGAACAGATTTGGAGAAATTGAGCATTACATCACTTGCTCACCAGCAAATCCTCAGCAGTGAATGGGTGCCGTCAGAGTCCAAATAGCTGATAAACACATCACAATAATCCTCAAGTCTTCAGTCCATCAATTAATGTCTTGTGAAGTGAAAAGCTGTGTGTTTGTAATAACCAAATTTGTAATTAAGATGTTTTTAACCATAGTTTTTTGGACTCTCATTCTGATGGCACCCATTCACAGCTGAGGATCCATTGGTGAGCAATTGCTCAATTTCTCCAAATCTGTTTGAATGAGGAAACAAACTCATCTACATCTTGAATGGCCTAAATGTTAGTACATTTTCCACAAATATTATTTTTCATCCATTAATTAAAGGAACAGTTCAACCTAAAATGGAAATTCTGTAATCATTTACTCGCCCTCATGTTGAAGAAAGAATGTCATACAGGTTTGGGCTGACATGAGGGTAAATGATGACAATTTTAATTTTGGGGTGAACTATTCCTTAAATTTTATGGTATGTGTCTATACAGGAACTGTCTTTAAAAATTACATATTTGAATTAAAACAGGCTTTTAATGTTAAACATTTTTGAATATTTGCTATTGACCAAGTAAAGAACAAACAACCAAAATCAATCGAGTTTTAACCTACACTGGGGACTTTATCTCCGCTGCATACTCGATCTGTAGCCAGTTTTTGTCGGATCTCCCAGGCGAAAAGAGCGGGGTTCTGCCGCTTGTGCTGCGCTATGATGGAGACGACATCAGGAGTCAGGAGTCTGGGTCTGCTGCCTCCCGTTGCTTTAGGACCAATGAACCCTGTGCGCTGAAACCTGCCCAAAATCTTACTGACGCAGCCGTTGGAGACCTGCACAGAGCACGCTGTTAATCCAACAGGTTGATATTCAAATAAGCACGTGGTAAAGTGAGAATTGTAGGCTACTCAGTACCTTCAGTATTCTGGAGATCTCACACGGTCTCACGCCCTCGTTCGCGAGCTCAATCATCAGTCTCCGTTTATAGACGGGTAGAGGACGGCCGTTTAGAAACACGCCGCCCAGCTGATTCACACTCTCTTCCCCTGACACATATCCATACACAAGCTACATTAGCCTATTGGGAGCTTTGCGCATTTATGATGAAGTGGAAATTCTTCCAGAATCAGCTGAACAACTTCACTCTCAGAAACAAGGTACAAAACTGGGGCGGTACAATTTTAAAAGGCATTCAAATTAGTAGGCTGCAAATTAGTTACTAATATCTACACTTTAGATACTACACTCTAAAAAATGCTGGGTTAAATATAACCCAGCGCTGGGTTAAAAAGGGACAAACCCAGCTATTGGGTTGTTTTGACCCAGCGGTTGGGTTGTTTTGACCCAGTTATTGGGTTGTTTCGACCCAGCGGTTGGGTTGTTTTGAACCCAACTGCTAGGTCAAAACAACCCAATAGCTGGGTTTGTCCCCTTTTAACCCAGCGCTGGGTTATATTTAACCCAGCATTTTTTAGAGCGTAATAAGTACAAATATGTACCATTTAGGGGTACCGCACCAATGTGATTTTCTGTACCTTTTTTTTCCTGATAGTGTTGAAAAGAACAATGCTAAGGTTTTATGTAAGTTCAGAAGAATTTAGTCTGGTTCTGCATAAGTGAACGCTTCAGAGCCGATTTGACCGTTGTCATTACATAGCCTAGTTTTCTGCAGTAAAAACGCGGCTATACAAATGTAGGCTATATAAATATCACATATGCCATATAAAAATAGTTTTCAGAGTTTCATCTCAATTTATTAATCAGTAAAAGTCTAACTTTAGCAATTGGGGGTTGAAAATCTTTGGAAGAACTGTAATGATCAATTGCCAACCTTCGTTTCCCTGATCAGATTTTGCGCCACACATCCCAACGGGCACCTGCCTGGGGGCCTTGCAACAAAATCATCAGAATTATATTTTAGTAAACATTTAATGTATTAAATGATCCTGAAATCTAATGCGAGAAAAAAACACATTGCAAAACGAATGAGTTAAAAGCCGGGTGACCCTCTTCTTACAGCGGAGATGGTCTTATTCTTCTTGAAGGAGATGCGTCCCTGCTTGTGGCCACCACTCAATGCCCCCGCGCGTGACTTCTTATATATAACACAGTGCCCTTATCAAGATGACGTACTGTCCACATAGGAAGAAAGTAAATACAGACTCTCGATGGTGACTGCTGCTCACCAGTGATCACAAGGGTTGGTACACCTTTTTGTAATGTTTAGAGTTAGACTGCAAGTTAGTCATCATAACGCATTTTCATTTGTCACTGTGTGATCGAATTTTCACGGGTGAAATCCATCCAGTCATTTCAATTTGAATTGGATTGCGCACCGAATTCAAGTTCTGAGGAAGAGGTAACCATAATTACGTGATGCTCGTGCGCTCTCCATTCCATATTGAATGTAGTTATTCGTTTGAACCGTGTTTTAGGTAATTGAAGTGTATCTTACTGTGGTAGTGACGCTGGTGCACAAGACGGAACTCGACAGATTACGCACCCCAAAATACCTTTACATTTAATTCAGCACACGTTTAAAATTTTCTCAATAATTCCTTTAAAAACAATCCCCCTCTAAAATGTCACTGTGTAATTCGCACACTGTGTGCACCAACGGGAAGGATGCAGTGGTTTCTTAGACTTACAGGTTCCAGGCATGCGCATATAGGCTATGAGAGGCACAAACATTTAGTGTTGGTACAAAGTAGGTATAAGACTTTTTTTCAACTTATGTTCAGTTAGCTAAACTACACTTGCATCTTAAATGGTTGATGGGTTTGAATCATCGCCTTTGCTGAGCGAACAGAGAGCAGCAAGTGTGGAGTGTCTAATTTCAGCACCACTCACTGAACAGGTCCCATGATGTTCTGAATGAGCGAGTGAAAGGAGTGCTCGCTCACATATGAAAGCAGTCAGCTTCCAAATGATATTTCTGAAATGTTAAACTCATTTATGAGCATACAAGCTCGATTTTACTTCTGTGATTCTCAAACGACTGGAGATTGAGGCTCTCCGGCGGTCACGTGACAGGCGCATCTTTCATCCTTCCACGCGACAAACGTAGGCTACATGTTAATCAGATTTAGTTCTTTTAAAGCAAACATTTGAAATCCTGCTCCAAAGACGACTGCCATATGGTAAAGTGCTTTTGATAAATCATAAATCCATCATGGAACCCCTTTTATTACATTTTCTTTCAAGCATGAGCAAATAGAGTCAGAGGGGCAAATGTGAACCAATTGTGGATTTATTTATAAAAATAGTGAGTTGAAAACCCTCCCAGATGTCCCTTGTCTGGCCAGCAGATAAAATGTGTTGTAAACGTTTCAAAGGAAATATTTGGAGAGCAAATATTAGCGAGAGAGTATCCACACAAGCCTCATCTTTGGTCCTGCTCAATGACTAATTGGACATCATTAGGTAAATCCACACAGATCGAAGATTGTGAAAATAAGGTTGGATTTTAAAATGCCATATGGTGCAAATTACATATTAACCACCTCTTACAGCATAATAATATCTAGGTCTAGACGGTCCGCATATAAACTCGACGACCGGTTTGAACGACAACATCTCCTTGCCAACGGGATCAAAAGACAAATAACATATTTATTTATTACTTTAAAGAGCTTTACGTTCTTTTTTTGCTCATTTTATTAAACGAAATTAGTGAAATAAACGAGTTGATGCTTCAAAAATGAGATAAAAATGACGAAATCCTCTCTTTGCGCAAATTTATCTGGCACTTTGGGGATGTTTACAGTTTGAACCTTTAAATCAAAACGATCTTAATATATTCACTGATCTTGTGCCATCAGAAAGCAAGAAAGCAACCCAAATAATTATTTTTTTCCTTGTTGTGCTCTGAATTATGACACTAAAATCTGTCGTTGCTCCCGCGTAAATGTGCACTTGGAGCTCTCCAAACGCGCACACGTGTTATGCACTATTCAAACAGCCATTCAGATACTGGGGTGCAGCTTTAAATTAGGAGAACATGAAAACTTGTTTGTTGGCACTAACTTTAAATCATGGAAATCTCCTTTTTAGTTCGCACCAAAGCTCATGGCTGTCTTACAAATAAGAAAGTGCACTTCTGTGCCAGTGCAAGATTGCAGATAAAGATCGAATCTCTTACATTTCCTCCCCAAATGTGTAAGTGAATTACATAATTGTTCAAAAACTTGCACCATACCATATCATATCCAAAGCTCTTGGTTACTCATGTATCCAGCATTGTAAGAGTAAGAGTTTTTTTTTGTTGCAGGCTTATGTGAAGGGAATGATGTGATTAGGTTATTGTGAGCGCCTTGATCCGAGTATTTTAATGGACAATGAACGGCTAATGTTTCAATAGCTCTCTTATAACATTAAGCTGCGGCCTGGTCCTTTTATTAATCAAGTAAATTGACAATCAAAAGGGTGAATTATAATTGTACGGTTGTGGGCGTGAGTAAATAAATGTCCAATTTGACTTCCAGTTCATATAATATGAAAATCCCTTTCATTAATTTTATTAGATAAAAATAAGCCCTATGCCTACTGTAAGGCCTTATTGTAAACTAAACTAAGACCATTTCATTTCAGGGCAGCATGGACATTTCTAGTTGTTCCATCAGAACGATTTTTCCAATGCATCTGGCTACTTATTTTTAACATAAGTTCTTGATAATCATAAGAAAAAAGGGCGATTTCAACCAAGTCTCACGCATGCGCTTTATTCTAAGCATATAGATACGCCGCGTAAAACTGAGTTATAAATCAAAGCAAAACGTAATATTTGTCAAATGGCGTCATCTAGTGGTCAGTAAGCACCTCCGCAACATAGATCTTCAACCCTGCTCCTGGGGACCCAACTGTCCTGCAGAGTTCAGCTCCAACCCTAATCAAACACACCTGAACCAGCTAATCAAGGACTTCAGGACCAGTTACATCAGTTACAGTTACATAAAGTCACATGCAAGGTGTGCTGAAGCAGGTTGGAAATAAACTTTGCAGGACAGTGGGTCCCCAGGAGCAGGGTTGAAGACCAATGGTCTACAGCAGGGGTCACCAAACTCGGTCCTGGAGGGCCGGTGTCCTGCAGAGTTTAGCTCCAACCCTAATCAAACACCTGAACCAGCTAATCAAGGTCTTACTAGCCCTGCGTCTCAATGTTCATACTATCCATCCTAAATAGTATGTGAGATTAGAATAAGTGTGTCCCAAAGCATAGTATGTTGAAAAGAGTATGCCAAAAGTCCCCGGATGGTCTACTATTTCAGGTCGATTTTTGAAGTGTGGATCCGTGCACACTCTAATGGCTAAAATTGCAGAACTACAAACACGAATAAAACGCGTTAGAAAAACTACAAACGTGGCGGATGCGCGCGATCGACAGTTAGGTAGAGATGTTTACAAAAAGGGGTTTGAGTTACTAATAATCAACATTTAACCTGGTAAAAAATATTTATTTATTGTTATCCGTGTTATATTTAATCTGCAACAGTAATGCGAACTTTTATAAACATCCATTTGGTCGTGAACTTTTAAATTCATCATTATGCAGAAAATATGAACAGAGTTCTCGGCATGAAAGACCTGCGACTGGCAGATCAATGTGCTACCTTTCTCTCCAATACGGTGGGAAGTTAAATGAAATGCAATGTGGAGGATGTTAACTGACAAGATGATTGACAGGCCAGTTTACAGTGACCGGGTGCGTGTATCTATGCGACAGAGTGGTCCTTTAGACGCAATTGTGTGACGTGATAGTATGTCCCAAAGCTTGCCTACTCTTCTACTACACACTCAAAAGTGTGTACTTTTTCTTCACCAAAAGAGTACATACTTTAAGGGCGTAGTATAAGTAGGCACATTGAGACGCGGCATCAGATTCCAAAGTCTCAAACAATAAATGCGCTATTTAATGTGGAGTGATGCTGTAGTGCAGCGCGCCTCGGTTCAATAATAGCGGCAGCGCGAGGCGCACGTGAACTGATCATCTCCTCCACACTAATACCAGTTTCAGCACAAAATAAACATGACTAAACATTGAACTTTTAAATGCATCATTATGCAGAAAATATGAGCAGAGTTCTCGGCATGAAAGACCCGCGACTGGCAGATACTTCTTTTCTCTCCAGTAACAAGTGACAAGTGACAACTGTGACAAGATGATTGACAGGCCAGTTTACAGTGTAACAGGTGCGACAGAGCGGTCCTTTAAAGACGCAATTGTGTGACGTGATAGTATGTCCCAAAGCTTGCCTACACTTCTACTACACACTCAAAAGTGTGTGCTTTTTCTTCTCCAAAGGAGTACATACTTTAAGGGTGTACTATAAGCAGGCACACTGGGACACAGCATCTCTCTCTCTGAGTGCATGCTGGGAGCGAGTGGGCGGAGCTGGTTGTGTGTGAAGTGAGAGCGTTTGCCTGTGAGTTGAGTGAGTTTTTTCTATCTTTTTATCTGTTGGTGCTTATATTTTGGGTTTGCTAGAGTTAAGAAAAGTAAGACGCTGTCAGTCAGTGTGTGTTGATTGGAATGTCAGTGTCTAAAAGTATGACACCAGATCAGCTAACATACTTTAAGGGCGTAGTATAAGTAGGCACATTGAGACACAGCATTGGTATACTAGAAACTTCCAGGCAGGTGTGTTGAGGCGAGTTGGAGCTAAACTCCAGTAGCCCCTCACTGCAGAACAAAGATCCAGGGGGCGGGGTTGGATCCAAATCTAGGGGGTGGAGATGGTAGGTTTAGGGATCAGGAACTCTGCAGGATACTGGTCCTTCAGGACAGAGTTTGGTGACCCCTGGTCTACAGTGCTCCATGACAGATTGAGCTTTCATTTAATTCATACAGTAGGCCTATGTAAGTCTTTTCATCAATATCGAATCATGAATGTCAGTCATGATGCATGCACATTTATGAAACCCACCGAAGTAGTAACTAATTAAAGAACGTAAAATCAAGTTAAAGTGGTTTCAGTCTCGGTATCACCGTCACGCATCCAAGAAGTTATTACACACTCTGCACAGTTAATCATGCTGCTTGTACATTATTGCTTGTATGTGTTTTTTTTTTTTAATTTGTAAAAAAAAATCGAATTTCAAAATCTAAATTATAATGAATCAATGCAACGCTTAAATGTCTCAACATCTCATAATAATAATAATAATAAATTATATATTATGCGGGAGACCTGTAAATTAAATTACACATTTAAATGAACAAATCATGCATTTTTTGACATGTTTTATGGATTGAAAATAAGGATTACAAGTTTTATGTTTAAGGCACTTACAGTTAATAGTGTCAATAGTGACTATTGTGATTTTTTAAATTGGATAATTTCAATTTACAAACTCAAGTGGGTACAATATCTTTCATATAAGTAAAGTAAGTAAGTATATAGCCTAGGAATAAAGATCTGACGCTTCTTTACGTGCGCTCTCAACCAGTGATGCATTGGAGATACGTCTGTCTCATTTTCATGTTGAACACAGAAAAGTATAGACAGATACTGTAGATAGATAGATAGATACATAGATAGATAGATAGATAGATAGATAAAATAAATAAAATAAAAGATTAAATTATAAAGTTAAAAGAAATGCAGCGAATAATAAATAAAGGGGAAAAAATGAACGCAAACATAAATTCAGGGATAAATTTTATTAAAATTACACTTATTTAGTTATAAATTAACTTAATTTAAGTTCTGCAGGTTTGGGCCTCCAAATGTATATCTCCAGTTATATCTAGGCCTATATCTTTAGTGTACATATGCTTATTCAAAGTCTGCGCCAAGTAATATATAGAACATAAGTATGAATGAAACAGTAGCCAAGTCAGAAAAAAAAAAACAAATTAATTTAAATTAATTAAAATTCTTAAACATTTAAGGGGGTGTGGTTTTTTCAAATCTGTGCTGACGTGTCGCACCTCCCCACTCACCGGATGTCATCACTCGCACTCTAACGTCACAACCTCATTCAGCGCACGAGTGTGACGCTGTGACCGAGGAAGTGCAACATTTCGACGTGTACATCCTCACGCTGTGCTTCCGGTTAAGCAAAGCGTGATCAGTTGTGCTGCTCAGTCTCTCTTCCCTTCCTCGGCTCACAGTAGAGGCGTCTGGTAGGACTCTCCCGGTTCCTTTACCTCTCTCTCTTCCCTCCCTAACGGAATACTCATTCAGCCCAGCGGACATGGCATCTGCAGTAGCGGCACAAGTTCAGTCCAACCCAGCTTCAGCTCCGCAGCTGCAGAGGGGAATAGTGAAGATGGTAGGAGAGCACACGGGACACAAGTATTGGTCTGGGGGTGCTGGCTAACTCACTAGTGCTCATGGGGGAAGAAGTGATTGCTAAGACTTCAAAAGTTAATATTTTTTAAAGTCAGGCATGCATTCTGCAGCTTATTGCTTTTCATTTAGTTCTTTTGACGTTTGGCTAGTCTTTCCGTTGTTTTCATGAGCAGCAGAGATTGAGAGAAGTTGAGCGGTCTTCAGCTGTGATCCAGATGACCAGTTATGCAACATTATAGTCAAAGTTTCCTTAAACGTTTGACATCTTTCATTTGCTGTTGTAAATGATGCCAAACATTATTATATACCAGTCGCTAAGTCTAAATATTTTGCAGCTACAACTCAGTATTTGTAAAGAGGCACACTTTTCATAACAAACGCTGATAGTTTGTTAAACACTCTCTTCTATCAAAGCCGAGCTTTTTAAACAGTTCTAGAGTTTGTGATACACTGATTTAAACCAAAAAGCTAGCGCAAACCACAGAATTGCGGGTTGAATTTGCGGTTAATCGGCGGGTTTCACGTCTTGGGGGGGATATCAATTCAATGTAGTGACTCGAAACTTTTGAATCGGTTCACCAGAAGATTCATTCTCTGATGCGGTCAGGTTGCGGCGCGTGAGTGTTTTGTGCGTTACAAGAGTGTTTATTGAATCATTCTCTTGCTCAATCGATTCGATTAAAAACGTTTAAGCCTTGCAAAGTGTTTTTCCAAATGACAACAAATCTGCTCTGTCACCCCCCCCCACATACACACACATCCTGCTAAGCATGATATTTATTAGTATGTAAGTGTGTGTGAGACTGTTAATTCCTTGCGGTAAAAAGTCATTTTTACATATTCATAGTTCTCAGCTCCTCCGTTGGGGTTTGAATGCAGTGAATGAAGTTGAATGAAAATATGTACCCTTGCAGTGAATGAGAGCGAATGAATAACTTACATTTGTTCAAAAACACCTATTCACTCACTAATCAAGCGCAGCCTGTCATAGTCCTAATCTGGAATGACCTACATGAATGGTGTGTTAACGTTACTACATTTTATTTATTTTTTATTATTTGAACTTGCGTTCAAAGTTTAGGTTCGTTCTATTAGTGTGCCGTGTGAGGTCTCGTGTGTGTTTGGAACCGCTCGAGCGCCGAGATTCGTTCAGTTTTGTGCTGGCGCTCGTGTTTCTGTGTTGCTGTAAGACTCGATGAGCGGCCAGCTTCCTCGGGCCCCCTTAACCAGGCAAGGCGCCGCAGTTTTGGACTGTTTACTTTGTCTGCTCTGGTGAATGAAAGGGGAGCAGATATGAGAAACTGACACGTAGGTCTTTAGCCAACCAAGAACAGTCCATGGAGAAACTCAGTAACGCGAGAGAGCCTGTAAGTAAACGCTCCATGAAAACAAACCGGGACAGGCTTTATTAAACTTAATTATGAGTCATATTATTTTTTTATTTTAACTTTCACTTGTTATTGTTACAACCTTTCTTTATGATGATGAAACGCTCAATTAATGTCTATCCTGTTCCGCCAAAATACTATCACTGTTACTACATTAAAACCATGCTAACTTAGCCAAAACTATAAAAAAAAAACCGTTAAACATAATGACAAAAACCTCTTTTCACTGGTTTGAAGGAGATACCTTATGAATTAGACTTTTTATATTGATTTTATAGGTAGAATTCATAATTAAGAATTTAAGTTCAGTTGAATACTTTAGCTTTTGCAACATTATACACTATTCCATTCAGTATAATTTCTATAAATTTTTTGGGAAAGAAATTAGAAATTAATAAATTTATTTAGCAAGGATGCTTAAAATTGATCAAAAGTGATGATAAAGGCATTTATAATGTTACAAAAGATTTCTATTTCAGATAAATAGTGTTCATATCGATATCGGAATTATATCGTATTGACCGAAATTAAGAGATATACCGTGATATAAATTTTGGCCATATCGTCCAGCCCTATGTGAATACACACATAATCGTTGATTTTGGAGGGGCAAGGTCTCCCCTGAGTATTTTAAGTTGTATTTGTTTAGGGCTGCTAAAGCTGAGGTGTCATGCTGTGATTAACACAGTAGTGATTGTTTCAGTGATGTTATCTTTGGTTAGTGGGTGTAATAGATGTTCAACTGTTGGCCAAACACAAACAAGCAGGCCCTAAAGGAATTGTGGCCGCGATCAGATTCCTCAGGCATTCAGTGTTTGACTTGCAGTTGCAGATTGATTGTTTGTGTTATGCATTGCCAATGCCAGTGAATTACAACTCTCATCATTATTGACATGACTGGAATGATAAACTATTTATGAAACATTATATAAGCACTCACATTGATTTGTTTTTCTTTGCAGGTCTTGTCTGGTTGTGCTGTCATCGTTAGGGGTCAGCCGCGAGGAGGACCCCCTCCAGAACGGCAGATCAACTTGAGTAACATCCGAGCCGGAGCTCTCGCCCGTCGCGCAGTTCAGGGCCAACCAGATACCAAGGACACACCAGATGAGGTAAACATCAACCCTGCACAGAGCTGCTCTGGCCCTTGATTTTTAAATTGATTTTTTTCCTAAACATGTTCATTCATAGTCTTTCTTTCTTTTTTGTTTACGCAGTGAATTTTTTGTTGGTCATGTTAACTTATTTAGATATGTTTCTTAAACATTTTTTTTGTGTGAAAATTCTGAATATTGCAGAAACATTATAATTATAATATTATATTTATTATAGTTGCAAATAAAGCAGCATTTCTGTCCACTGTGTTCAACAGCACCAAAAAAAAATAAATCACAGTTTCCTGGGAAACTGATGTAAAACCGAAGTTGAGGTCACTGTCTTATTTGCGCAGTGTTTATATACAGTGTTTTCACAATGCATTAAAACAGAAACAATGTAAAAAGTCCTTGAACATGGAAAGCATCAGAAATTTAGTGTTCTTTAGGGCAGTGTTTCCCAACCTTTTTTTAGTCGTGGCACCCTTTGGAAATTTTAACAAATTTGTGGCACCCTACAAAATTAATTTTGTCACAATATTTGAATTTCTAACTTCGATATGATACTTTAAAAAAATGTTTTTTTTACACGGCACCCCTGCTCTCGACAGACGGCACCCCGGTTGGGAAACACTGCTTTAGGGCAATATGGTTCTAATTAAAACTCTTACTACAGTCGGAGTAAAGCGCTCGCAAATGCGACTATTTTCATGCTAAGTAATTAATTGTCTATTGTTAGCTATTGGATAAATTATTAGATTTCACTCGCCAGTGTTTGAGTTAGAGGCTAAAAAATAAGTGAGAAATGAGTGCGTGAGAGTTTGACTCTCTGTAACTCTAGTGTGTAGCGCCCAACTCACCGTGGCCCAGGAGAGAGTGCTCTGTGTTACTCTCAGACAGGCAAAGAGAGCGAGATGCAAACCATGCAGAATTTACATGTAAATGGTATTCTTTGCTGTATTTTCCTGTCGAATGATTGAGTTCATTCAGAATTTTTCAGCCTTCAAACACAAGCAGAAGCCACTGCCGGTTCCTTCGGTAGTGGGTGGAACTAATGCGCAAACACCTATTACCATCCACGTTTGATTTGTGCAAGTAAGCGAACACAGACCTTGTGATTAATATTCATTATCCCAGCAACTCATCAGACCTGATCTAGTCTGATCTAGTTTTTTTGAGTAAAAAAAAAAATAAATACAAGCCAGTGGTGATTCTATTGGCATTGTGTGCGTGGAGTGTTGGAATATTACTTTTTACTGTGTTTTTAATTAACTGTCATCCCCCCCTTTTTGAACATAGACGTGAAAGTGCACTATTCAAACTTAAATTGTTATAATTCATAAACGCTTTTGAATACAGACCTAAGGTTGGTCTCTTTTTAAAGAAGACAATCTGCAGATTATTGCAGAAGTGAAATCATTAAAAAAAAAAATGAAAGCATAAAAAAAGTTATAGAAGTTTAAATTTACTGTAAAGAAAATGTACTGTACTATTTTGATATTATTTTATTTAAAATAAATATTTTACTAAATGTTTTAATCCAAAATTGCTATAAAATTAAAGCCATATGTCTAAATAAGTTGTGTTCCAAATTTGAAGTTGATATAAAAAAAATTGAGGTTCCTATGCAATTTTGTTTAGGCGTTATACCACAAACAGCCACCAGGTGCCATCCAAACCCCATTGAATTTTTTTGATGCATTTTTCTGTCACAAATGTATCAATTTCTCTCTCAATTTTATGTCTGTGACAAAATAGCCGAATATGGAATCTTGAGACTCGGACCTTTCCAACGATATGTATTTTGTCAAGATTATGAAAAGTTTTGATTCTAACAGACCGTAATACATTTGGAATAAGACACTTCCCACTAAGGGGGAGATTTTAAAGTACGATTTCCATGGTAACGCAGTGTCCGATTTCAAAGGATGAATTTGGAGGTTTTAAGCTTTCATATGATAATTTATGATGATTACTAAAACATGTGATAGGGAAAAAGGAAGCGAAGAAGAATTTTTGTGACAAAGGTCAGAACTCCTGTTATGATGTATATGTTTTGAGGTGCACTCTTGTCATAAATTAATCTATTACTGTTCCTACATAATTTTTAACAACAAACTGGTAAAATATCTGTTTAGGAGTCTTAGACCTTTCCAACGATATATAGTTTGTCATGATTAGATTAGGATTTAATTGTAATATATTGAAGTAAACTTAGGCGTCCTGTATACGGGGCGGTGACAGTTAAGGGGTTAATCAAATAAGTGCAGCTTTCGTGAGCATAAGAGACTAAAAACATTTAAAAAAAAAAGTCTTACAGACCCCAAACTTTTGAACGAAAGGTATGTGCAGATCATACTTAAATATAAAAAAATTCAACTCAGGCCAGTGTATGTGTTTATATTTGTATTTGTATTTCTGTGTCTTGTAGTGCATATTCTGGGAACCCACTATAAAATGACTATAAACATTGATAATACGTTTAACACTTAATTCAGTATTACTTTCTGTTATCAGTAATGTTGAAATTTGCTGTTTGATCTACAGTGTATTCAATAATGTGAGTTGTAGATTTACAGTAATGCATGAACTGGTAAAATGCATACCTTGAATGCAGTGTTAGTTGCTTTGGATAATAGAGAAACTCACATCTGCCAAATGCATAAAAAAATGTGAATAAAAGAAGTTTTTGGACCATAAGCCACTTAAGTCTGTACGTTCCACTTCACGCTGTGTCTAAAATCATAGCTTTGCTCTGCATCTTGTGACCTTTTTCCTTAGTAAATAAATCCATTATATTTCTAAACCTTGAATTCTACACCTCATTAGCTCACTTTTTTTTTTTTTTTTTGCAAGTGATTTGAACATTTATGCTAGAATGTTTTCATTCTCACTAGAGTGAATAGAGACTCTTTTTAGTTGCCAAAGCACATCCACCAGTGCTGAATGGCTGTAAATATCTGTGTGTGTGTGTGTGTGTGATTTATTTATTTATTTTTTGCAGCCTTGGGCTTTCCAGGCACGGGAGTTTTTGCGTAAGAAGGTAATTGGCAAAGAAGTCTGCTTCACCGTGGAGAATAAAACCCCTCAAGGCAGGGAATACGGCATGGTCTACCTGGGAAAAGGTGAGTGATGTTTGTTCACAAAAAAGAATCTCACTGCAACAGTGCTGATCTGAAACATGTGTGTTTATTGTAGTGTTGTTATAGTAACCCGTTTGATCTCTCCAAAGACAACTCAGGAGAAAATATTGCAGAGTCCCTGGTGACCGAAGGTCTTGCCACAGTTCGTAGAGAAGGCATCAGAGGAAACAAGTAAGAACTCTGTTTTTTTTCCCCAAGCATCAAACAACTGGTGTCAGTACGATTCTTGCACCTATTGTCAAAGCCTTCACAATGCTATCTATGTTTTTCACATCGGCTGAGATCATTTGTGTTATCACAGTGGTATTATTGTAAAAACACATTATTTGTCCTACAGGGGGCAGTGTTTGCCTTTAATGAAGTTTAGACACTCTAGGGCAGGGGTCTCCAACCTTTTTGTGAATGAGGGCTCCCTAAGGGATAAAATAGTCTCAAGGGCTACTTGTTTGATATACTCTTTTATATATATATATATATATATATATATTTTGATATCTTGCATTTTATGCAAAAATGCAGTTTATTTTCCCCTAAATTCTGTTTTACATTTGATTTCTTATGGATTCCGTGTTTTATGATTCAGTACAAATTTATCATAAAAAAATGGTGTCTAGTGAAATGAATTAATACAACTTTAACAATTTAATCGGTTGGGAAACACTGCTCTAGAAGACAAAGCATTTTTCACAAATAAATATATATTTAATACAAATATAATTAAAAAGGAAGTAAACACTGTAACCAACAGGGTGAACTCTCCTCCTGTCCGTATTCAATTCGCATGGACCATAGGACCGATTGTCACAGAACACGCGATCATGCAGGTCACATGCACACTTCACAAGATCTCAACTAGATTCGACTAAGTCTGCAAGGTTTGTGAAATTAAATGTTCATTAGTCATTCAGAGATTTGTTTAAATTATATAAATGCGTATTTGAGGAATGCTGACGGCAAACGAGAAAGTATTATAATGCTTGCCTTTAATAATATTAAAGCAATCATTATAATACTTTTCTGTATACATTTTAGTTCAACAGTTCTATCTGATTATTAGATAGACTTCTATCCGTATTAAGACAGAACTGAATGACAACAGTGAACAAGAGGGAGAATGTGAGCACTGTGCGCTCAGGCGCTGCCGCAGCCGTTCTCGGCGCCGTCAAAATAAAAGTCCCGCCTCGAAAACATCGGCCAAACAGAAAAACTTATTAAGCCAATATTTGAAAAACTGGCAGATATCGGCCGATATATCGGCCTTGGCGATATATCGGTCGACCACTAGTTTAAACCTGGGCCGTGCTCTGCTCACCAGCTCTCAATTAGGCACAGCCGAGCAGGGAAGGATGCCCACTCCTCTCCCTGACACGCTCTCGCTCTCTCTTTTGAAAAGATGAAGGAAAATAAAATTTTACTTGACAAAGACAACTCAAGATGGCTGCTGAGATTTGGCAGCTCCTTATTTCCTGTAGTTAAAATTTATGAAGGCTTAGAGAATTGGAGCGTTGGGCTTGTCATTTAATAGGCAGAAGGTGACTTTTCTTTGACATTGGCTTTACCAGCCTTGCCTGTTACTACATGAGTGAGTTTTTAAATAAAAGTCGGGTATTAACATCTGTCCTGTGTCTCGTCATCTTGCATATTAGAAAAAGTGAGACGATGAACCCAGATGGCTGGTTTGAATATTGTGAGCTTTGTGTCCATTAGGCGTGGCAGTGTCCTATAGTCTCCCATGAGCCACCCACAGTCTGTTTACTGACCATCTGATGAATATTGCATGTAAAACTGGAAATTTTCACAAGGGTACAATGAAATTGCCTGACTGTAACGCAATTTCCGGGAATTGATGTGTATAGGTTTTTATCAGTCCACCTGGAAACAAAATATAGTTTGAAAGGAATTAGGTTGAATGTTTTAAATGATCAGATGAATAACTATTCAGTTATTTTTAAAAATGGCATTCTTTCATATATTTAAAATGCGTTCAGAGTTTTGTTTTCAAGCACGAAGCTAGTACACTAGATACTCGCACACATTTTCCACTGTTTATGGTGGTTTCTGTACAACCGCCCACTGAGATTAACACATTTAGATGTTATTGATTTCAAATTTAGCATGAAATCAAAGAAAACTGTGGTTGGCCATTCAGAAGGTCTCTTATTATCTAGTGTTGTTTTTGTTAACTAAAACTGTAAAAAAAAAATATTTTTGCATTATTTGAAATAAAGCTAAAATATAAAAATTAGATGGAAAACTTAAATTGGAAAAAAAGGTTATTATAAACATTGCAACTAATTGAAATAGGTTGAAGTACTAAAATTACTAAAACTGAAATAAAAATAAATTAAAGCTAAATAGAAATATATATATATATATATATATATATTAAAAATTACAAAACAAATTACTGAAACTTAATTACAATGAAACCTAAAAATATATAAATAAAAGCCAATTCAAAATATTAATAAATACTATGCAAATAATACTAAAACAACACAGTTCCTATCAGTTTGTGGCCAGAATGCATTGCTAACCAGACTTTAGCCAGAAGTGATGTCAAAAGTCTGGATTTGTGAAAGGGTTAGTTCTTTCCCAAAGGTGTGCAGAATGCAGAGTGACGACATTGAGTGTCCATGTCTCATATAGGTGTTTTTTCAGCAAAGTTCAAAGCTCAAATCCATTAAAATAATTTTAATATAGAGAAACACTAATTATAAATTCAGAATGCGTGCTCGTCCACAGTAGATCTAATATATATCTAAAAGACACTTTGAGTCTTGTCTATTCATCTAGTTTCAGTGAGAAAATTTTATTATTGTATGTATTTTAATATTCAATCTCTGCCATCACACCATCAAAACTCCCGTAATTCATCATTTCATTCTATAATTTGTTTGTTGTGCAAGCCAAGACATTAAAGGAAGGGCTGATACATCATTGACGGAGTCGCTGGTCAGACTGGGTCTTTAATTAATAGACTTTCACCACCCACATTTTTTTTTCCCCACTAAAAAAAAAAAAACCGGTTTTCATCATAGATTCTGATTCATCTCACTCGCTCGCTCGTTCTGTCTGACTGTCTCGCCTCTTTAAGTCTGTTCATTAGTAAGGCCAGCGCTACTTAAACTGATAGAGCCTTATTAAAAATCTGACGAGTGTCTACCGTGGTCAGACTGTTTAATTCCCCTTAAAGATAATGATGGCTTTTAGAACAACAGAGGAATTAATTGAAACGTGTTGGCTTTTGATAATGAACAAACTCATTTGAAGAGCTTATCAAGGCCTCAGAAAGGGGCTGCTGTCCGTGAGAGACCTCAATATCTGTTGCTCAGTGCATTGAAGTCCAGAGAGAAAATAAAGGCAGACTAAAAAGATCTTGTCTTATTTTTAGTTCTCAGAACTCTCGTGGTAAACTCTGTGGTCTGTAATTTGATATTTACTGAACTTTCTGCGTGTTTCAGTCCTGAGCAGGCCAGACTGTGTGATTTGGAGGACCAAGCCAAGGCTGCTAAAAAGGGTCTGTGGACTGAGGGTGGAGGCGCACACACCGTTCGAGATTTGAAGTATACCATTGAGAACCCTCGCAACTTTGTGGACTCCCTCCACCAGAAACCAGTCAACGGTAAGATGCGATAAACTTTGTTTGTAGATCACATGTTGTACTCTTGAGGGCCAGTACCAATGCTGGGGCAAGCATCACTAGCGTTCAAGATCAAGTTCAAATTTCATATTCATGAATGCAAATTTACTAATAAAAACCCCCAGCTGATTTTAATGAGTGAAGAAAGGCAGTACATTGACTAAATTAGAGTCTCTTTGAATCTGTCTATCTGTCTGTCTGTCTGTCTGTATGTGGTTAAAATGTTATTTATATATAAAATTGTGCTGTATTTAATGTTTTTATTTTTGTTATAAACAAATAATCTACAAAAAATGGACAATCATTAGTATTATTACAAATAAACAAATAGGCCTATTGTGACTTTAATAATTGCAGATATTAAACTTAAATGATCAACTTAATGTAATATTTTAAAATATCAAAAATATACACTACCGCTCAAAAGTTTGGGATCAGTAAGACTTGTAATGTTTTTTAAAGAAGTCTCTTATGCTCATCAAGGCTGCAATTATTTGATCAAAAATACAGAAAAAAACCGTAATCTTGCAAAATGTTATTACAATATAAAATAATGGTTTCTATTTTAATATACTTTAAAATATAATTTATTTCTGTGATGCAAAGATGAATTTCTATCAGTCATTACTCCAGTCTAAAGTGTCACATGATCCTTCAGAAATCATTAAAATATGCTGATTTATTATTAGAATGATCAATGTTGGCAACAGTTGTGCTGCCAAATATTTTTTTGGAAACTGCGATACTTTTTCAGGATTCTTTGATGAATAAAAAGTTAAAAAGAACAGTATTTATTCAAAATATAAAACTTTTATAACAATATCAGTCTTTGCTATCACTTCTTATCAACTTAACACATCCTTGATTTTTAATTTCTTTAAAAAAAAAAAGAATAAAAATTTACTGACCCCAAACTTTTGAACAGTAGTGTATATTGTTATAAAAGATTTCTATTTTAAATAAATGCTCTTCTTTTTTACTTTTTATTCATCAAAGAATCCTGAAAAAAAGTATTACAGGTTATAAAAAATATTAAGCAGCACAACAGTTTCAACACTGATGATAAATCAGCATATTAGAATGATTTCTTAAGGATCGTGTGTAGGGCTGCACGATTATGACAAAAATCATAATTGTCGATTATTCCCTTGAAATTGTAATTGCGA